AAAAACCACAAAAATTTTAAAAATGGCTGGGGATGCAGCTCAGTGCAATGGCCCTGGGTCCAGTCTAGCACTGCAAGGGAGGAAAAAAGCCACTTCCTAGGCCAGACACGACCATGCCCAGGAGGATCTTGCTGCTTGAGCCCCTGCTAAGGGGGCTCTGGCAACAGAACTCAGAATCTTGGGGCTGGGATGGGCGGGGCCAGCGTTGCTGGGGTGATGTCCCTGAAGGCCTGGCCCCACAGAGGTCCAAGAGCCTGGGAAGGCAACATGGTGGGCTTGGGGATCCTGGTGTTGGGCCTCCTATTGCTGATGCAGGGCTCAGTTGGTGAGCGCACTGGCAGGGGAGAGGTGTGGGCTGCGGAGGGCACTGCCTGGTCCTCTACATAGTCCCTGTTACAGCCTCCTTTCTCACAGGTGGGATCGGCATCCACGGATTCTTCTATCCATGGAGTGAGCAGAAGTTAAAATGGGGGGGCGGGTCAGGGGTTCAGGGAGGGGGCACGCTGATTAGACTCCAGGGCCTACAGGGAGGAGCTGGGTGGCAACTCCAGGTCTGAGGGAGGAGGCCAGGCATGGACCCCGGGCCTGAGGGAGGAGCTGGGTGTGGACTACTCAGCCTTGCATGCAGTCACTACTAGCTGGACCCCTGAAGTGCAGGGCCTTCTGTGACTATCCCACTGGTGGCCCCCAGGCTGTGAGGGTGATGTGTGGGACCGGGAGAGCTGTGGGGGTCAGGCGGCCATTGAGAGCCCCAACCTCTGCCTGCGCCTGCGCTGCTGCTATCGAGATGGGGTCTGCTACCATCAGCGGCCGGATGGTGAGGAGCTGGCCACAGGGCGTGGGGAGGGGTGTGGCTAGGCATCCTTGGCACCTCCACCCCCCTCCATCTGTGTAGAAACCATGCGCAAGAAGCACATGTGGGCCCTGGGCTGGACCTGCGGAGGCCTCCTCCTCCTGATCTGCAGCATCTGCCTCTTCTGGTGAGCAGGGCCCAGTGGGTCCCAGCTGGGCACAGGCCGTGGGCCGAGGCTAAGTGAGGCGCCCTCCTCTCCCGCAGGTGGGCCCGGCGCCGGGACATGCTGCACCTCCCAGGCTTCCTGCGGGGCAAGTGCGACCTGTCTAGGACCGTGTCACTGCTGTCCAAGGAGCGGGAGACAAGCCAGAAGACGCCTTCTGTCAGTCAAGCACCAGCTGGGTCCGCTGGGATGGAAGTTTTGGGGAGTGCTGAAGGGGAGGGTGAAGAGACGGAAGGTGGCGAGGAAGAGGAAGATTAGGAATATATCAGGGGACCCCTCAATACAGATGTGGTACACAGATGCGGTGTCCTTTCTGAGAGTCTCAGGAAGGCAGCTCAGGTGGCCCTGGGCCTGTTCTAAGTGCACATTTGAGGGTCAGAGAGCCTCACTGAGGACTGAGGGAAGTTGGGTCCTCTCTCCGGATGAAAGGATGCACCCTCACCCCACCCTAGCCACACCTGCACAACCCCAGCTGAGACTGACAAGCGGCATGAGGGGCAGAGTTGTTTATCCAGGTGAAGACCGTGGAGACAAGGATGTTGTCCTGGGGCCAGTGAGGCAGGGCAGCGGCAGGTCTCAGTTGGGTCCCGAGCGGTGGGGCCACAAGGCGGTCTGCAGGAGGAAGAGCGAGGTTAGCATGCTAAACCACACTTGGGTGGCCCCCACTGTCTCTGCACCCCCACCAGTCAGTCTCACGTTTACAAGCCTGTGTGCCCTCTAGCACCTGGCATCCCCAGGTGTCACAGAGGGATAGGAGGCAAGGACAGGAACAGATGGGAGAGACGGCACAGGGACAGAAGCAGAGGAGAGAGGTGGGAAGAGATGAGAAGCCAGGTGTGGTGGTGCAAACCTGTAATCCCAGTGTACCTGGAGGATGAGGCAGGAGGACCCCAACTTCAAGCTCATGAAAGCTGGACACCTCTCTGTATCAAAACTCCACTTTCCATGCCCACTCTGACAGCAGTTGTGTGTGTGTGTGTGGGGGGGAGTCACGTTCAATGGCTCGTTCCATGGCCAAAGCAGTGGTCACCCAGCCCAGGAGACTCACAAGCCACGGCGTGGATTTTCCAGGATAACTTTAAATAGTATTTTTTTTAAATTTTTTTTTTTAACATTTATTTAGTGTGTGTGTGTGTGTGTGTGTGTGTGTGTGTGTGTGTGTGGCCAGCTCAGCCCACCAGGGGGCGCGGCTGGCTGGCATGTGGTGCTGGGGGATCTAAACGTGGTCCCTGTGCTTTGCTTAGCTTAGTTTGTTCCAAGTAGGTGCTTTAGACCACTGAGCCATCTCTCCAGCCCCAGGATAACTTTAGAGATGGCTATTTTCACACGGCTACACCCCACTGCATGCTAGCTCATGCTTCACCTGTGCGCGCACACATTTAACTCATCCTTAGCCCTGTTTCTTAGCCACAAAACAGGATTTGGCAGGAGTGACTCCCCCCCCACAGATCTCATAGAGAATAGCAGATCGTTCTTATCATTCTGCATGAACAGGAGAAAAATTAATTCATAGATAATGTTTTAAAGGGTTTCTTTTTTGAAGGGATACAGGGTTTTGAACTCGGGGCCTTTGCACTGAGCTACACTCCCAAGCCTTCTTTTTCATTTTAATTTGCGACAGGGTCTCCATAAGTTGCTAAGTTGCCCACGCTGGGCTTGATCTTGACATCCCCCTGCCTGAGACTGGGATGACAAGTGTACACCACCACGCTCGGTTAAAGTGGCACCATCATGGGCCTCAGTTAACCACACTGCAGAATGGGGGCGTAGTGGACTGGAGAGAACCCAACTGGGCCAAAGTGGGGTGGTTCCCGGTTTCCGGCGCGCGTCCCTGTCCCCGCCCCCTCCTATGCGCGCTCACCTGGGGCTCGCTGGCCGCGCGCGCCGCCAGCCCGGGCCCAGCCTCCAGCGTGGCAAGTTGCAGGCGCACGCGGCGCGCTCCGGGCGGCAGGGGCGC